ACTCATATTTGGGTCTGTATTTGTAGCAGTTTTAAGATGTTTCAGTATTTTGATGAAAGGCCATTCAAAGACGTTCCAAACACTTTGCATCTGAATGGCCACATTGAAAACTCTCAGGATTTGACCCAGTCCAGTAGGAATCAATCGAAATACGGCAAAATGTCCGAGGATTGACGATGTTCTCTGTTTGGTATGCCAATACAAGCCCAATACATCGATAACTGTGCAAGGACTGTCTACTTGTTCAAATAAAGAGTCGACATGAGACATGTGCGATCCGAATTTAAAGTAATTTTCCATCTGGTTCACTTATGAAAACTCGATGTTCTCAATGACTTTCGAGCCCACAACAGAAACTTGATTAACCTCACAGATCTCGGTCGTAGCCCAGGTAGTTAGAACGGTGACCGTATTCCAGAAATAAGTTACGTTAATCCAAATAAAATATTTGTTAATATACACTTATATCAGGACGCCAGTTAGTGGTAAAATGCCTTTCTTTTCTCACTTTTTGTCAACTAAGCGCTTATTTTCAGCTTTAAAGATTAACAAGTCACCAAATACATATTTGAAAACATAAATAACTTTAAATAATTTTTCTGGGTAGCAAGATAGGTAGCCTTCGGCAAAAAGCAAATGGGAAAATATAAAATAACACATCGCTCATCGAGATCTGACCACAGACTGCAGCACGCATTCAGACTCCTTAAAAGTTTGAAACGTCCATCAAGAGGATCTTCAAATAATGTCAAGTTCGGATTTTCAGAACTTTACCCAGGAGTACAACATTTATCCCAACTCGCTTTTATGTCAATTATTTGTTTTCTTTTGGATTCAAATACTAAAATATTGCCAAATACATATGCAAAAACATAAATAAATTTAAATCACCTTCCTTAGTACGAGGGAAGATAGCCTTATATATTAGAAAAAAATGTATTTTGAAACATCGTTCACGGTAGTTTGACCGTGGACCACGGTACGCATTCAAACTCCTTGAACTCTACATGTGAACATATGTTCAAATGAAATAATTAAATCTTGCGACTTATGACAAAGAATAAGCAGTAAGTTTACGCTACAAGTACTCCTATAACATTGCATGCCTTATTTGTTGTTTAAACAGACTATATTTTTGGTTAATTCAAAAACTATTAATTTCAACATTCTAGTCGTCTTCGGCATCCCTTCCTTTCATTACACGCTCTTTTAACCTTAAAAAATATTATAGTGAATCACAAGTCTAAATATGGATTGAGAAGAAGGACAAACATCCTCGATGGTATAAAGTTACCTTATTAAAATGAGATTCAGTCTGCGCTGAATCAAAAAAGTGCCAATGTTACGCTTTTCACTAGCAACTACTGGTTGAGTCAGCAAGTATTGGGACAATCATATCGTCTGCGAATAATCTGCAGCAAAATTTCGCACCCGTTCATTTGCCTTGACATTTCTATTTCACCTGGGAAAATGGAGAGTTCGAAAAAGTCAGATTTATGCGCACATTTAGATTAGTGAGATTTGATCGCTTTGAATAAATCACTCATATTTACCTAGTTCCGGTAGATGCTATTTCTTAGTTGTAACCTGTGTTGCAGGTTCTATAGTGCCTACCTACTCCTTCGTGATGGAAGGTCATCTTTTCATTGACGATTGTTAAATCTTGCCCATGAAAATGTTTGACGGGTAATTTATTAGATATAAATTTGAACTCAGCCCTTTAGGATAGTATCTGGCCTGCATGATAAAAGCCTTGGAGGAGACATTGATTTTAACTTGCTCTGATGGCACCCCATAAAGTTATTGGTTATGTTCGAGTTTCTAGTTCCGGTAATCAGTAAAAGTGCTTTCGGAGCAACACCAATTAGTTGATAGCTCATTTCAAGCTGAAGTGTTGGCACGTAAAATCCAAAGTAAATTTTACTGACAAGCAAGCCAATCCGTAGCGTTAATATACCATCTGTTGATAATCTTGCAGTTGTAGAATCTAGGAGCATATCATGAAGGAAGTTTGGAGTTGGCCCAACGGTTTATTTACTAACCACAACAAATTCCAGTTTAACACCCATCCTCTCACACATCGTTGATCCCCGGCCTCGTGTAGAACGGTACGAAGCGTCCGTATGATTAACAGGATCCCACCAAATTACCCTGAGCCAAAGGATCAGAGTCTGTTAGCAGCAGCAGAGGCGACCACGATCAGGTTACGGAAGCCGGTCTTGCGTTAGCAGAGGTATCTGGTGCAAGCAAGACTTCGGTTGTGGCCAAGGTTGAGTTAACTGTACGTACTTCTCTGTACCCTCACATCGCTCTCCTAACCCTTGTTGCCTCGTAACTCACAGTCTCCTATTTTTCTCCTCCCTCCTGTTCCCAAGCCTCACTTGTATAAGAAAACGAGCCGTTATCGAATTTTCTCATCAATCAAATATTTTATTTGCAGTACTTTCCCATCAAAATTATACTAGATGTACCCGGCCGCGCATTGCTGTGGCATATTTAGATAAAATTGAGAAGAACGTAAAGAGGAAGAAGCACGATTCTAATATGTTTTATTTCATAATGCTTGTGGGTATACAATATTTTTGCCGTTGCATTGTCTGTGCAGATATAAAGATTGTCTGGTCTCCCAAGGTTTGCGTGTTTTTTGCCCGGTGGGTGGTATGCCCAGCGGCCCACATTGCGTCGGCCCAGGGGGTGGAACATGTTCAAGTATCCGTAGGGGAGTGGGCGCGGCCGTCGGAGAGCACGTGTTTCCGAGTGGATGCCGGTCAGTTGGTCAGTGAGTCTGTAAATCCTCCCCCTTGCTTTTGCGTCCAGCACATGGCGTTGTTGTGCGAAAAAAACATGCTCTAACCCGTCACAGGCATGCAATCTGCATAATTAGGATAATTATCAAGATGTACACATATATATTAGGATAAACAAATTCGCCTCTATGCGTATGCAAGGTTGTGCCAAAATCTTGCCGACGGGCAGCTAGTTTGTGTTCATTAGTACGGGTGCCCAGGTGTCTACCTGTACGACCAACATACACACAGCAGCAAGTTGCGCACGGAATGCGATAAATGGCGTTTGTTTGTTGTTCTTTGGGGATGGGATCCTTGATTCGAAATAATGCTGCGCCTAGTGAGGATGCAGGTTTGTGAACGATTTAACTGCCAAGCGATTACTTCAGACGTCCCCTGCGTATAAGGTAGGGAGTAGAATTTTCGGGACACGATATTTCAGTTGGAGAGGGGACTTTGCAGTTGTGCCTGGTGCCTGAGACAGTTCTTTACAAACGTTGTCGCATATCAGTCAGATCAAAGCAACCGATACGGGGAGGCAAGCTCACTCTTAAGAAGGTCGTCGTTGATGCAGTAATGATAGGCCTGGTGGGACAGAGTTCGGACGCAGCTTCTTTTGTGAGCTGCTGGATGGTTGCTTCCATAATTGAGGATAATTTCAGAATAAGGACCCTTCCTATGGACTCTCGTCGCGAGACTACCATCCCTCAGTCTTTGTATTCTCACGCCAAGAAATGGCAGGCTGCCTCCTACTGCCTCTTCACGAGTAAACTCTACGGCTTGCAAGTCATCAGTCAGCCTCTGATGCAGCCTTTCAACTTCGCAGTTCTTTATAACGACACAGGTATCGTTTACATAACAAGGCCACAATTTAGGACTGAGAATTTGAAAAACCTCTTTTTCTAATTTCTGCCTCACTCAGAATCCGACCATAACTCTGTTAGCATCCCTCCCATACGCCAATAGTCTGTCTGTCATGTCGCGCTAAATATCTTAGTGTGAATAACTATCTTTTTCCCTTGTTTTTCGTTTCGTCTAGCGACAAGTTGGTGCCCCCAGCTTAAAAATTCACGATTAAAACTCGATTTTTCCGAAGAACCTATTCCTTTTTCAGAAATACATATATATATATAATGTTAGGGGGGCGCTCACCGATCGTTCATACGGAACTCACTCGTTCCGTTGTGCCTTATAGACTCTCTCTCGAGCCCAACCAGCAGCCGCACAGCGGCGCATGATATATAGGCAGAATGATATTACCGACAAAGACAAGGGAGACTGGAATGGCCATTTCTGGCTTATTCGCCGTCGTCAGCCAGCCATACCCAAGCCCGAAGTGTGGAACACCCGAGCCTCGAACTCGCGACCTGTTGGTTTAGAAGTCAACGCCTCTACTCACCGGGCCACGAGCCCGTTGCCCTGTCGGTTTTCGATCGGGTGTTCCACACTTCGGGCTTGGGTATGGCTGGCTGACGACGGCTAATAAGCCAGAAATGGCCATTCCAGTCTCCCTTGTCTTTGTCGGTAATATCATTCTGCCTATATATATATATATATATCAGCGAGGAGGGACGACAGAGGATGCGGGTAGATTGATACAGCACTGTTTCGGGCTTATTCTGCCTTCATTCAGCCAATCATAACCCTGACCACCAGCAGCTGAGACCAGAAACACAAACATGCGCACAGACGCACCTGGCGCAGTCGGTCCACCATTGAGGCCTACCAGATGGGTCATAAGCACTTCATCGAACCGAAGTTCATCAGTGCCTCGCCACCTGTCATTCTCTGTCGCTGCAGATCGGGTATTTATCAATCAGGAATGGGCGCACACCGACCTATTGGCTTCACAAAGCAAACAAGCTCCGTATGTGTGGTTGAATGAAGGCAGAATAAGCCCTAAACAGTGCTGTATCAATCTACCCGCATTCTCTGTCGTCCCTCCTCGCTGCTATTATGATTTGGCCGACTTCGGCCTGGTAATTGGTTGCCTGTTCGTGACCTTTGCCACACATACGGAGCATGTTTGCTTTGTGAAGCCAATAGATCGGTGTGCGCCCATTCCTGATTGATATATATATATATATAAGAAGAAGAGGCGATCTCGGGAACCATTGTCATATTGCCCTGACGTTTCAAAATCAAACAAGATTTCATCGTCGGAGGTGAGTTTAGTACCACGCCTCACAGTATTTATAGGCGGTGACGATCTTGTTACAACGGGTTTGCGTCTATTCGGGGGCTGTCGTTTGGACGCTTAGCTGTCATCGCACGTGTTTGCATTGACCTTAGCTCTCGTCCTAGGCTGGCAATCTTCTTTGTCACCCTGCCGTCACTTGTGTTCTCACCTGCCGCATAAGTGGCAGTGATGATAGCACCTTCATCGGGTCCGTTGGCGTTACTGCGATCGTTCGTCCTCACACCTGCCAGATAAGTGGACGACGCGGCTGTAGTGACGATCGCACCTTCGTCAGATTCGGGTTGAAGTAGGGCTGCGCGTGTGGCCCCCATGGACTCGGCCGTACTTGGGTTTCTGTCTTGTCGCAGCCTGACTCTGCTCTTCTGTTCACTAAGCTGCGTCCGGAGGGCCTGGTAAGCCTCAGGAAGCGCTACGCTGCGGTTGATGGAGTTCGCGCCAGTGTGCCAGGCCTCGATTGTTTCCCTCGTGATGCGGCGCTCACCGATCAGGTTACAGAACATGCTCGTTCTGTTATGCCTTGGTGATCATACTTAAACCCTCGCAGAACGAGCATGTTCTGTAACCTGATCGGTGAACGCCCATCTGTCATAATTGATATTCCCGATCACAACCGACAGGACAACGGGCCCGTGGCTCAATGGTAGAGCGTCAAACTTCATGACCAAATATCCCGGGCTCGAATCTCAAGTGATCCACACTTGGGGTTGGGTATGACCGGCTGATGACGGCTAATAAGCCAGAAATGGCCGTTCCGGTCTCCATTGTCTTTGTCGGTATCACCTTATCAACATATATATATACATATACATATGTCCAAACTCAAGAAAAGTCATGTTTGTCACTCAAGAGGGTAGCACAGCATGCATTAAGTGTGGTTTTTTGTTTGTTGAATTGACTTGTGTAGCTAAAGTCTTTTTACTAAACGTGCATACTTGTCAGACCATTTTTAAGGAAGGATGACGGGCCAAATATAGGTGAAATGGAACGTTTCCTGACACCCAAATACCCTAAGTTATTTAATATCAAGTGTCATGGCATACTTTGAAGATGTCAAAACACTTCCCTGATGAGTCAGTAGTAATATAACAGCGTCTGAAATCAAGCAAGGTATGCAAAAACGGTCTAAAATCCAGTAAGACGGTGATCGGCTTCGTTGTGCACCAAAAAGTACCATTACATGCCTTTTAAGTATATTGGCAGGGAACAACTGTCAGTGTTTTCTCAAATAATTAAATAACAAAACGGGTAAAATACTTCGTCCTTCATCGGCAAAAGTTTATGGAAAGGCAATTTCTAAGTAAAACGCTTGTTAAAGGAGGTCTTTTGGTTGCTTAGTAGTATATTGGTCACAGACATTCATTCCGCCCAGTTCGGACCAGGTGGTCATGTGTGGAAACGCATTCCCACGAGAACGCTCTGCATCGAAAGCAAAGTTTAAGAATCGCCGATGTCTGATGGTTTGGGTGGTCATCAACTTAGGGAAGCAATCGATCTTGCCTTCGGCAGCAAAGGCCATCAATAGCAAGTTGTTTCTGAACATCGCCAAGGATGCCTTAGAGTAGAGCGGCATACATCGACGTCAAATAGGCACTGTAATGTTGCAGGATAATGCCTCTATTTACCGCTCAAACAAAGTGTGATTCTAGTTCGGCTTACGATTATGATCTATTTTTAGACCACAGCCAGCCCTTTCGCCCACGGTCTGCGAAGCATATCTATTCCTGCTAACAGTCCTTACCCCAACCTCACTGAAAATCTCCTTGCGCTAATCAGGAAAACTGAAAGGCAAAAAACACCCTACAAGGCGGCAAAATACTGGATTTTCACCTTGTGATTGCATAAACCAAACCACTTTAGATAATGTAGTTGCCTCAATGTCCTCCCGACTTGCAGAACTTTTAGAGGCAAAAGGACAAATCATAAGATGTGGTTTGGTAGCCCCACCTGATGTACACAATAAACTTGGGGTTGGGGTTAAGGGTTAGGGTTAGAGGGTTTAAGTTATGGGTTAGGGTTAGGGGTTAGGGTTTAGGGGTTATAGTTAGGGGTTAGCGCAAGTTTTCTTAACCGTTCAAAGTACAACCGCCCACTCCCAGTGGCTCTTCTTTCGCATACAACTCCTCGACCTCGTCGCATGTGCATTCCACGGCCCCACCTGTAAAAACCCCTATTACCACCTGTTGCGTATTAGAGGTGACTGGGGTTTGTTTCCTTCAGATGGGGCAACATAATCACATCCGACCGCCAAACAACAAAGTACTAATACGTCGTACTTACTGTTGTTTTGATTGTCTTCTCGTTAGGTTGCATTATGTCTCCCAGCTGCCACGTATAAAAGACCTGAGATATGTGACCTGCCATAAAGTCTTTTTGCTTTAATTGTTCACGATAGAATGGATTTTGATAGCCAACAGATTGTACCTTGAAAACTATACTATGTTTTTATTCAAAAATTCGTAGTTTCTCTAACTTTCCAAGATGCAGAGTGGGCAGTTCGTGCGCGACAAGAATTTTAGCGCGTAGTTCGCTATCTTTATCTTGATAGAGCATTAACCGCAAATTTACTGGTCCAAGGAGGATTTTCCAAAAGCACACGCAGGCTTGCCACCTGATCTTCTGTAATTTCACCGTTACTTGTATTGCCGCCTATGTTTCAGTGAAAGGACTTTGACTGCAATATATCCACCCCCAAACCGCAGTAAAGCCAATGAACACGCAATCTCCAACACCATCTCAGAAGTTCACTGTTATTTGCCATCCATAGTGCCTGAGATAACGGCACCGCAATGCTAATGTCATCTCATATTAACGCGTAAATTTCTAAATTATGTCCTACCTACAAAGGACTTAGTCGTTTTATAACTGAGCTTTGGGTACATAACCAAGCGTCGTTGTAGTTAACTTTCACGCCAATTCAATGGAAATAAATCCCTATTTATGCCGCCTTACCATGCTTATTTCTATGCTTTTAAGGTGTACGCCGCCACCAATCTAGTGAGCCAGGTGACAGTCTTTAAAATGCATCAAAATGAAAAGGTTATCTGAACTACAGTATTCCAAGGAAATTAATTACTGTTAAAAGTAACATTTCCGAGGTCAGTAATAAAATGCAGACATGTACACACTGAAAGTACGTGGCAACTACGCGAACATGAAAGTCGGAGGGGATGGCTATGTCTAAGCCCTGTCCGCAAGTGTTTATCCACTGAATGCTTATTGGCCTTTTCGTTTCTTTTTATTTATCCCTTGTAAAATTGCTCAGGTGACAGAAGTATTTTGTGAATACATTGGTAGCACAATGCTTTAGTTAAAACAGAAAAATGGAAGGATACTTGAGGAAAAGATGTGGGTACACAATAGACGAGAATTGGGGGACTCGACTGTCAAATAAGTACTTTTCTGGAGTTTTGAGTTCACACTTGTAAAGTGTATACACCGAAACTGATTATTCATCCCGGCGGTCTATGAGAGGCAGGCATCCTTACGTATGTGTGTTCCTCCATGAAAGGACATTAGTCTGAGTACTAAAATTTTTCACGAACGCCTTTAAAAACGTTAAAATCCATTTTCCTGTCCGCATGAATCGTGTGATCGGCAATGGTAACTGGATATTCCCAAAGGAATAACTTATAGCGACTATGTCACCGCCGTGTCACCTTATATCCACGTCGGACCATGAAATACACGCGTGGCTTGAAATACATGAAAGCGGTTTTTAAGTATCTATCAAATCCGTATAGATATAACAACTAAATAATTTATCAAAATGTACAGGCTTTGGGCGTTCGTTTCTACATCTTAGTCCGATGACGTTTAATTAAAAATTCTGAATACAAAATTAATCAGTACTACTGCTACGCAGACGGTTTTCAAGAGATGCTTTACAACTCTACAAAGTCACTCGTTTTCTTACAAATCTCAATTTATCATTGGTATTTATAGAAAAAAGTTCTGTTATCTTGAATTTTTCGATTTTATTTTAGCGAATATTTTAGTCTTATAACAATACGCAATCCACACTTTTTGCGTCGTGTTTGGGAGTTCACTTTACTTGATAATTTTATTTTGTAGACCTGCCCACAAGAGGCGACAATTTTCAAGGCGTTCCAACTTTCTGTATAAAAGTGTTCCTCAAAAATATAAGGCAAAGACATTCGAATTAATTTGCTTACCACGTCGCCTGGACCGCCTTGGAACAAACACTGTGACATTTTAAGAAAAATCTAGAATTACTTATTTTGCTGAATTTTCTTACCAGAAAAATATTATGCACATGCGCCAGTTTTAATTAAGTCCCAAAAATTCGCCATTCCTTATAAAACGTTTAAAATAAACAAATATCCAACAACAGGAATCCAGATTACCTTGCCGACAGAGCCAGGAGGAACTTGAGTGGCCACTTCTGGTCTATTTTTAGTCGTTAGTCAACCATAAAATTCCTTCAGAACATTTAGATGAGTTTTCAGCCTGCGACAACTCTAAATTAGAATTCGCCTAAACCCTCAAAACGAATTCGGAAAAAATCGTTATCACCTAATTACGGACTTTTTCCGCTAATTGGAAACATAAAAATAGGCCAAATGAGGTCATTCTGAGGCTAGAGACAGTCCAGTTTAGAAAAGCATAACTTATTCATTGCCCACAAGGAATAGTCATACATTGTGATTCCCGCCTTCCTCGGCCCTTCCATCTGCCCATAAACGAGCCTGTATGTAGTACTTCCATGCGTTAAGCATTGGCTACTCCATTTCGGACGGGTAAGTCGATATTCTTTAGAGAAAACGCTCAGCGGAAAAAACGGCTCTTCATGTCAAGATTTCTTTACTGCCAAAAAATCAATAAACAAAATATCTCTGGAATTACTGACTTTACTGGCGGTAGAATTTTATCCAGCTGAATAATTAAAATGCAGGACATGGAGTGCTGAGTGTGCCACTTACCTGTTAGGGTTAATTTTGGTGTTTCCGTGTTGAAGCATTAACTTGCTTTGACAGTGTATTTGCTCTACTAAAATATTACAGAATTTAGTTTCGTGCGCCAGAAGGAATTTGTGAGTTGTTCTAGCCAGTCTATTGACCGGTTTACTAGGAGATTATTACTTCAATAGTGTATTCCAAAAGTTAAAATGTCCATGGTGGAGGGACAAGGAAAGTACATGAGCTTTCTTTGGAGACTAACATCCAAATTTTCAACAGAATAATTTCCCCATCATCAAATAATGAGTGCTAAGGGGAAAATCGTTCGTAGATATGTGTGACTATTGTGGTGATGACAAGTCAAATCTCACCTCTGCATTTCAGTCTGACTAGAGGGACGAAATCGTGTTAGCAACTGTTTGAATGATCGTCACTTCGCTCTAAGTGTGCGGCCTGAAAGGCTGCCAGTCGAAGGGGGTAGATCGGTCTTCCCAGGACGGGGAGCCAGGCGGAAATGACGCCTTTCTAACGTAACCTCTATGACACTCTCAGGCATGGAGAAGGAGACATGATCGCTGGGACAA